CTGCGATGCCCAAGATGGATGTATACTGAATTTTTGTCTTTAAATCTGTTGTTAGCTGTTTCCTTTATTGTCTGTGATGGATTTCTGTGTGATGATGTGCTTCATATTTATTCGTGACGAAAACTGAAAATTTTAGTCTGTTTCAAGACCAGTCTGTAGAGGGACTGTGGTTTAAAAATTCAGAGACAAATTAGCTTTGCACGCAATCTTCCTCTTTTGGCAATATTTCCATTTTGAGCTATTAATAAATTTTCAGGAAAAACATATGGTAATTTTTTTTTTTTTTTTAAATGATGCTAAAATAAAGCAAGTAAAACAATGGGGGATACGCTAGTGAGATATTCAAGAGCGGATTACATTTTTGACTATTGTTATGCTAATAGCGACCCAATAACTCACTATCCATATATGTACATAACCATATACAGATTTAGGATAGGCTCTTCTATCGTTTAACATTATACCCACTCACGATGAATCAAACACAGAGAGAAACGTGCGCGTACACAGGGTGTGTGCTTGTTATGTGTAATAGCCAATATTCTCAAGGCTAAGTTGTTAACGCTCAAGACAAGACTGCACAATCTTTTGGCGAGGTCTGTCGTTGAGAAAATTAGCCATTTTTTGTTGCCGTTAAAGCTTTTGGAAATGTCCTGGGAAGTGTAGAGAACATGGCAATAACAGATTATGGGAAAGGGGCAAGAAAAGTATGACTTGAATGCTAACTACATTGCAGTGTTCTCCCCAGGCCTTTTAAGAGTATCAGGTCTGATACTGTTCTTTTTGAATATAGATGGAAAACCGATGACTTTTTCAGTAGCGTTCCAGGCATTGCAAGATATATATATAATAATCAGGTTTTTGCTACTATTGGGTTAAAAAATTATTTACGATCTTTCAAAATTAATTTAGTCATGGCTATTCGTTCAACCCAGTACTGACCTTCACCGTTGTTGCGACGCAGAGAACCTGAAGATTGAATTCCCCGCGTTTAGCAGTTTTAATTCAAAGTGGCTACACTCGACAGCAATGGCAAGGAAGTTTGTCAGTTTTATTCAAGATATAAATTTTCTTATTTACGCATTATGGCTACACAACGTGACAGAAAGTCCTTCCATGTGATCTAATATTTGTAAACAATCTATTTGCACACGACTCCCAGTGTTTTCTCCTCGAGCAGACAGTAATTTTTCACATTTGTTTTTGAACAGTTTTAATCTTTCTCAAATGAAACGAAGCAGTTGATTGCTATTTTATTCAATGTTTATTTTCGTTTGATATTTTTAAACAAAATATGCAGCCATTAAATAATTAGTAAATATGTGAGCTTTTTTAGCTCCGCTGTCGACTTTGTCGAGCGGAGCTTATCATATGAGTGATGTCCGTCGTTGTCCGTGTCAATGTTTTACTTTTTCGACTTCTTCTTGAAAACTACAAGCCTGAATGCTTTGATACTTGATGTATATGTACCTTGGGTAGACTTCTCTTAGGTTTGTTCATTTCATGTTGATTTCTTCTATTCTCTAATTTTGGTGAATATTTTTGTCATTTTTGGTAAAAAGTGATATTTTCGACTTCTTGTTAAAAACCACAAGTCCAATTGCTTTGATACTACATATATAGATACTACATGTGAACCTCTCTCAGATTTGTTCATTTCGTGATGATATCTTCAATTCTCTAATTTTGATGAATATTTTTGTAATTTTTGGTAAAAAGTGATATTTTCAACTTCTTGTTAAAAACCAATAGTTCAATTGCTTTGATATTACATATATAGATACTACATGTAGACCTTTCTCAGATTTGTTCATATCGTGATGATATCTTCAATTCTCTAATTTTGATGAATATTTTTGGCATTTTTTGTAGAAAGTGATATTTTCAACTTCTTGTTAAACATTGTAAGTCCGATTGCTTTGATACTATACATATTGTTCATTTTCTAATGTTGTCTTCAGTTCTTTAATTGAAATGTGCATTGCTAACAGTGGAGCTATCTCAGCCGATAGGCTGCTTATTATTTTTTCCGAACGAGGACAAGGAAGGCAAAATGGTGTCACGACAGGTTGAATGTTATCTTTGGTTTGTATCAAAAGCACGACTCACAAATGAGGTATTTTTTCGAACGATAATTTGATAGGAACTATACAAATTTCAATCGTTGGCGTGTGTAAGGGCTGGAGCACTTACTATCATTGGCTCCAAGTCAATTAAACCGCATTGTTTTTATTTACTTTTTCTGGATGTTGTGCAGACAACTTTGCAGTTGTACGAAATAAATCAATTTCTCTATTTTGGTGTTTTGAGCATATTCACTGTGTTTTATTTGTCAAGGAAACAATCTTTTTTATTGTTTACTAAAATTTGTTTAAATTTTCTAATGTACATTAAATATCTAGTTAATGCAATAATTAGGCATTTTGAATTCTCAAAAATAATTATTTATTGTTAATGTTTTGTACTAATTGTTATATATTTATATGAAATAAATACTAGCAACTAAATTGTTTTGTCACTCTATAATAAATAGGTGAAACCTGATACTAGTAACATTAGTAAAACTGTTGCCACCTTACTCCACCAGTCACTGTCTTGAGGTTGCCTCACCTGGCCTCTTAAACTGAAGAAAATTTTAATAAAGATGTGCACATCTGACAAACCACAATAACGTTGACTTAAATTTCATAATCAAACTGTAGAACAGCCCCCTGCCCTGAACATGTGAATATTATATACCAGTAACATTTAACCTTGAATTGACATTCTCCCTCAAAATGTGGTCAACACACCCTTCAAAAAAAAAAAAACTCTAATTGCCCATGCAAATAAGAAAAATATTTGTGACTTGTCTTTGTATTAGCTATATTCAACTTGTTGGGCATTTTACTTTGTATTTCTGATATATTTATTCATCAACACAACTTATTTTTGTTTGTTTTCAGAACGATTTAAACACCTGGTTAAACCTTCTGGGTCTTCCACAGTACATGGAACACTTTTTAAAAAATGGTTATGATTCCATTGATTTTATAACTGATGTCACATGGGAAGAGCTTCAGGAAATTGGTATTACCTCGTTAGGTATGTAAATCAGGCCTGTGAGGGCGCTATCATTATACCACTTTCCTGAAAGACTAAGATACAGCTTGTGCGTACCAGATGTGAATTGCAGTATAAGCATGTAGGAGTGATATACTGTAAAATACTTCATTTTAGCTGAGAAGTGTATTGTATAGAATTTATTTTCATTGATTTTTGATGAGTTCACTGAATCATTCCTTAAGCAAAAATAGCGAAAATTAATTCCAAGCGAAAATATTTTACAGTAGTGCTTGTGAATGCATCAATCAACATGACAAAAATAGAAATATCTGCAGTCTGTATTTGCCACCATGAGAAAAGCAGGCTCCTGCTTGCATACCAGCCTTGCTACATCATCATGAAAGGTGGTCTATTTTGTATATAGACATAAAACTAGTTTTAAAATTATATTGAGTTTCCATTTTTTGTGATTGTTAGTAAATAGTTTTGGTAAACACACATTAGTCATGTGTTGAAAACTATCAGCCTGGTTACTTTCATATGCTGGGTTGGACCTAGATCAGATTTAGTTCATTTTGTGATTTTGTGATTGTCTTTTAATTTTGTATTTTTATCAAATATTTCATCTCAATATGTCATTAAACCAGCCTTGTTAACAGTTGTATATCAATTAAATAGTGTAATATAATCTATATATATCATATCTTTGTATGTGCATTGATATATTTCAAGCAGTTACCCTAAATTTAAAAACCTTCTCAGAAGACAGTTTAAATCATTCTGAATACTGTAATGTGTCAGTACAGCTAACCCAATTTCATTTCAACAGTATTCAAATCCTGTGCAATGTAATTTATTGAGACATTTACAGCTTCCATATTACAACAGTAAAGGTGTATGAAAAATGTATCAGGCAATGACTGCTTTAACTTGGTAACTTATAGGTGCTGCTTAATGCAATTACTTTATATCTTTTATTGAAACATTTCAGAGAGCTAAAAATTTACCTGAGATGCTTATCAACTTTTTCTTTTTTATTTCAAAGGTCATCAGAAGAAACTCATCTTAGCTATTAACAAACAAGCACAGCTCCAACAACAGGAAAAACAGTCAAGACAGTATACAGCGACAAGAGTAATGTCAGCAGACATGGACTCCAAAAGACCACAGTCATCATTAGAAGATGAGTCTCAATACAGTTCCCTTCCTCCTAATACACAAATACCAGAAAACAAGGGATCTCCAGTGCCATCTTATGAAAATGTTTACATCAATGTGAAGCGAAAATCCACACAAAGTAGTCAGGAAAGTTTGAGCAGTGATGTTAGTAGTGGTCTCAGTGGACCGGGTGTTGCGCATGGATCTCAAGAAAGCTTAAATAAAAGGTCACATCGTGGTTCTGCTGAAATCGGCTTTATGCCTTCACTGGCAAGTGTGCGATCCAGCCCCCAATCACCAACTATTGAAGGTGATGATCAGCCTGATTCGCCATTTCAAAATGTGTCATTTACTACTTTCAAACAAGCTCCTATGTCGTCAGGGCCTCAGACAGGTTCACCATCACCAATGAAAATGAGGTCACCAAGAAACCAATCAAATGACAGCTTAGATAAATTAGCAACAAAGCCACTCAACCAATCACCACGCAATTCTCCAAGGAATTCAACAGTGGATCAAAGTGGACTTGACCAAACAGACTGTGGTTTTGTGAAAACGAAAAAACCACCAACACCTCCAAAAAGAAGCAAGTCAACTTCAAAAGCAGATTACCATGAACCTATGATTATGCCAATGTTAAAACAATATGATGCGCAAGAAAAAAAGACGTTTACAGCCACCATTGGCAGGAGTAAAAGTTTGAAACAGTTTAAACAGGGGAGCTCTGCAGGACCTATAGTTGCCAAGCAACCAGAGGTACCAGATTTAAAACTACAGCTGCAGCAGCAATTGCAACAGAAAAAATACTTGGAAGTACAGATGCAGCAAACATTGCAAACACAGGTTGTACAGCAGCAGCGGGAGGATCATCTGCAGCAACAGCTGCAACAGCAGCTCATTCAGCAACAACAACAAATTGAACTACTACAGGATCAGCTGAACATTCATCAGCTGCAAGAGCAGCAGCAGTTACCTCCTCCTCCGCCTTCCCTGCTTGCCCCAGAACAACCACTTTATTATTCACCAGAACAAGATCAGTTGCCACCTCCTCCTCCTCTGTCTCCACCGCCTCCTCCTCCACCACCGCTGCCACCCCCACACCCAATGTCCGAACAACCATTTCCCTCTCCTCCAATGATTGACATTCCTACTGAGTCTCCCTTGTATGAAACAATCAGACAGCAACCACAACAACAGGAAACACAACAAGTCTCTCCAATTAAGAATGATGATTCACAAGGAACAATTAAGAGGAGAGCTCCAGCTCAATTTTCTATGGACGAATCAAAAAGGCAGTCGCCACCAGCAGTGCATGGGACTGTAAAACATCAACCTTCCCCAAAGCAGAATATTCGTGTGGATAAGAAACAACCATCCCCAAAAGGACACAAAACTAAAAAGGATTCATCTGATAATAATATTTCTATAGCAACGGCAATGGTATCAGAAAATTATGACACAATCAAACGGAGACCTGATCCAAAACCACAACAGCAGCCACAGCCAGAACGTGAAACTGTTATTAATGGACAAGGCAGTGATGGAAGTACTGTTAGGACTACAATTAAAGCACCCCCGCAGCAACCCCTTGGTGTGTTGCCACAACAACAGAATAATTATCCTCCTGTTTTGAGGAGACAAGGATCTAAAGATGATAGCTACAATGCACATAAGAAACAACAGACCTCAACTGAGGAGAAATATGCCACTATTAAACGCAGACCACAAAGGAATAGATCAAAGTCATTTAATGATAAAGATTTTGAAAACCAGCAAGGTTTATATGTAAGGACGCAGTTTAATGCTGATGGTGATAGTGTAGATAACAATGAAACTATTCAATCTGAGGATTTACTCTTAGGAATTAAAGCGCAGAGTGCAAGTCAGTCTCATAAGCCTGGCCACCCTATTAAGAAAATTCAAGCAAAGAGTAAAGGACATGGTGCTTCCCTTGTATCTCACCAAGGAGCTCGTGTTACCCTCCAACCACATGGATCCACTAGAAATGTTGTTACTGTACCTGGGACTGCTACAGTCACAGTCACATCGCAACCGCAAATGAAAACATTTGGGGGAGGGAAAGTACATAAACCAGGGCATGGACCACCAGTGAAGGTTAAAACAGTGACAGCCAAACCCATCCCCAAGTCAGCTGTGAAGAGTAAACCACCACAAGCACCTCATGTACAACAACCGCTGCCACCACCACCACCATCTTCTATGTTAACAAATCAGAAAGTAGATGTGTATTCTCAAGAGTATGAACGGGCTGAAGTTATTTTGAACCACACAGATGCTGCCACTTTCTCAGACTCTGATTCGGAAAATGTAGAAAGTATGCTATCAGCATTTGAGAATGAAAATACAGACACAATTAAAAAACAACCAGCGAAGAAAAGTAGTGCTGACATGAATGAGATTGGTAACATGCAAGTTGTATCAAGCAAGTCTAGGAGAACACCTTCATCATCAGAAGAAGGTAAAGCTTTTTTTTCGGAACTATTTTTTCCTCTTTAGCTCTGCTGTCGAGCGGAGCTTATTAGTCCCCGTTCAGGCGCAGCCTGAAAAGGGGACTACTAATTCAGGTTATGTCCATAATTCCGTCTCCAACATTTTCTCAAATTCTACAGCAGATATCAGTGAAACTTGGCAGGTTGATGAACTTGTCCCCTCCGAGTATGCACGTAATTTTTTTTCCAGATCTGAAAATCCCAAGTGGGTCTTTTTCACGATTTTATCAAAAATTGCCTCTCCCGGCAACATTGACAAAACGTCTGCGCATGCTCAGAATAAATTAATTACTGTAAAATACTTTATTTTTGCTTGCAACATTTTTTTGCTATTTTCGCTGAAGGAATGTTTCAGTTAAAATAAAATCCAGCGAATATACCCTTTTCTTATATTTTACAGTCAACTTGTCAAAAATCAATGAAAATAAATTCAATACAAAACACCCAGAAAAAGTCTTTTCAGCGAATGATAATTCCAGCTGAAATAAAATATTTTACAGTAGATTAGATCTGTGAGTAAGGCTGCTGTTATTACGGCACGTGATTTCTCCATTGCGTGCAATTTATTATAGTACTGTTTATACATGTATTCTGTTTGGCTCAGTGGTCTCATTCACTCGTTACTAGAAGAACTAGTAACTTTATTTGATTTCAAGAACTTCAAGAAGGCAGCATAAGAGACGTGTTTGCAAAGGTAAGTTTTCCAGTTTATTGGGGTACGATTGGTGTACATTTCGTGACGTACGACGTGAATATTATGATG